GTTGCAGTATTCAAAGCTTAGACTCCAGCTCATCAACCAACACTTGCTACAGATGTGGTCACTATGAATGATAACGGCGTCCACCAGCTCCCACATCATTCAGTAACATCAGCTGGCCCAGCATCTTTATTTTAATTACTTAGTTCTTCATTTGATATTTAAAAATTTTGCACTGATCTTTTAGAGTGTAGCATGCAAATATTTCCCCTCTTTACCTTCAATTTGAAAATTGCCTACATTAGATAATTAAATTAGTAGCTACCACCAACAAATGAATTTACAGTGATGTCATTCTTTTGTGTTGGGTCCCTGATGCTGGGCTTCAATTTATCCTGTTTAAAAAAATCCTTACAAACTATGAGCTAAAAGAAATTGCAAGCAAAAAGCACCTCTTACCATGTTGCCTCCAAATTCCCTGAACTACCTAGACTCCCTTAGGATGTGTCTCACCCTGGATGCGATCTCGCGTTCCTGACAGCGCGAAGCTTACAAAGCATAAGATTCACCCACATTTTGAATACATGCAAAGACACAGAAAAAGCTTGTCTCAAGACCTTGGAACAAGGGATACTTGGTCAAGGATCACAAAAAAAAACTAAAAAGCTATAAATTAAAGACAATTTCCCAGACACCATTATCATCATCACCACTAAGTATGTCCTTTCCTACTACAGCCAACAATCTAATTGTTAACAGATGCATCTGCACATGACAGTATTGGTAGAAACATTCGTGACATAGTCATTGTTGAGAAAAAGTCTCATCTACACATTGAAATCCAACAGTGCGTCATGATTACCACGCTAAATAGCACAGACTTTAAACAGATCTAGCAAATTAAAACTGGACATCAATGAGGCACACCAAATTGTATTTGACAAGTTGGAAAATTACTCAGGTATGTCCTGTACACTAAAAGCAGGACAAATCCAACCCGGCTATTTGCTGCCCCATCAGTCTATTCTTGATCATCAGCAGAGTGATGGAAAGGCTCGTTGACAGTGCTATCAAGTGGTACTTTCAAAAGAATAACTTGTTCACTGACACACAGTTTCAATTCTGCCAGGACCATTCAGTCCCTGACCTCATTAAACTATGATCCAAACATGGACAAATGAGCTGAACTCCAAAAGTGATGTGAGTGTGACTGCCTTTTACATCAAGATACCATTTAAGTAGGAATGACATCAAGGAGCCCAAGAAAAATTAAAATCAATGGGAATTTAGGAGTAAACTCCATTAGTTACAGACATATTTAGAAGAAAGGTAGATGGTCGTGGTTGTTGGTGGTCAATTGTCTCAGCCTCATTTAATGAGTTCCTCAGGTTGATGCCCTTGGTGCAATGATCTTCAGTTGTGTCCTTAATGACAGAAAACAGAAATTAACATAGAAACAGAGAGGCTTTTGATAACGTCCCACAAGCGAGACCGATTGCAGAGTCAAGTGCCTATGAGATCCAACGTAATTTGCAAATTGGATCCACAATTGGTTGAGTGGCAGGAAGCAGAGAGTGTGTTTTCTGACTGGAGGTCTGTTTCCTTTCGGGTCCCACAGAGGTCAGTACTGGAGCCTGTGTGGTTTATGCTTTATATAAATGATTTAGACTTGAATGTAGGAGATCAGTAAGTTTGCAGATGATACAAAAATTGATGGAGAGGCAAATAGTGAGGAGAATAGCTATAGATTACATGGACTGGTCAAATAGGCTGATCAGTGGCAAATGGATTTCAATGTGCATAAACGTTAGGTACTTGGGCAGGACAAACAAGGAAAGGGAATATATGATCAGATGGATCTTGGTGTACATGTACACCAGTCCCATAAGGTATCAAGATTGAGAGATAAAGTAGTTAGGAAGGCATATATGGTATATGTGCCTTTATTAGCCATGGCACAGAGTTTAAGTGCATGGAGTTTATGCTGAAACTGTAGAAAATGTTGGTTAGTCCACAGTTAGAGTACACTGTGTGTGTGTGTAGTTCTAATTATATGAGAGATGTAAGAGCACCAGAGAGGGTGCAGGAGATTTACCAGAATGTTGCCTGAGCTGGAGAGTTTCAGTTACGAAGAGAGATTTGATAGACTGGGGTTGTTTTCCTTACAGCAGAAGTGATTTGAGACGGGAAGTGATTGTGATGAATAAAATTATGTGGGGTACAGATAAGGTAGACCGGAATAAACTTTTCACCTTGATGGAGGGATCAATGACCAGGGAGCACAGATTTCAATCAGAGTCAGAAGGTTTAGGGAGAATGGGAGAAAAAAAAACTTTTTCACCCAAAGGCTGGTAGGAATCTGGAACTCACTGTCTGTAAATCTGGTAGAGACAGAAACTCTTGTAACATTTAAGGAGTATTTGGATATGCACTTTCACAGCCAAGGCACACGTAGTTATGGGGCAACTGCTGGAAAATGGAATTAGAATAGTTAGGTGCTTGTTTTTCATCGGCACAGACATGATGAGCCAAATGGCCTTTTTCTGTGCTGTAGATCTCCATGCCTCTGTGAGCGAAGATAAATAGATCATTCTCACATTGGTAGGCTGTGACTGGTGGGGTTCCATAAGAATCAGTACTTGGGCCCCAGCTGTTCACAATATACATCAATGACTTGAATGTGGGGACGAAATGTAATTTTTCCAAATTTGCAGATGGTACAAACTGGGAATGATGTCTGTTGAGGAAGATGTTAAGTGGATTCAGGAGTATTTGGACAGGTTCAATGAACGGGCAAGAACATGACAAATTTATATAACATGGAAAATTATGAGGTTATCCACTTTGGTATGAGAAACAGATGTTCAGAGTATTTCTTAAATGCTAAGTGATTGGAAAGTGTAGATGTACAAGAGGACCTAGGTCTCCTTGCTGAAAAAAATCAAAAGTCACATGACACCTTACAGTCCAACAGGTTTATTTGAAATCACAAGCTTTTTGAGTGCTGCTCCTTCATCAGGTGAAGTCACTTCACTTGACGAAGGAGCAACGCTCTGAAAGCCTGTAATTTTAAATAAACCTGTTGGACTACAACCTGGTGTCATGTGACTTCTGACTTTGTCCACCCCAGTCCAACACCAGCATCTCCACACCCTTGCTGATAAGCAACTGAAAGCTAATACACAGGTGCAGCAAGCTATTAGGAAGGCTGACATAATGTTAGCCTTTACTGCAAGAGGATTTGAGTACATGAGTAGTGAAGTCTTGCTTCAATTGTACAAAAGCTTGGTTAGACTGCACTTGGAGTACTGTACAATTTTGGTCTCCTTATCTCAGGACAGATATTATTGCAACAGATGGAGTGCAATGAAAGCTCACCAGACTTGGTTCTTGGGATGGTTGGAGTGTCCTATGAAGAGGGATTGGGCAAACTGGGCCTGCATTCTCTAGAGTTTCAAAGAATGAGAGCTAATCTCATTGAAACCTACAAAATACTTAATCGGATAGAAGGGGTAGATCTCTTCCTTAGGATAATAGAGCTTCCATACTACTCTTCTTTCCAAACTCATAACTGTCCAAGAAACAGGAAATAGATTGTGTCAGGTACTCCCTATGACAGCCAAGAATTCACATCCAAAACCCTTGATCAGCAAGACCAAGAGTCATCTTGTTCCTGGTGTCACTTACCAAAGATACACCCAAAAGCCTCTTTCCAGCTTCTCAGCAAGTGCACTTAGAAAAGCATGAATGATAGGTTGATAATAAAGATCAACATGGAATATGTGGATGAGAGGAAAGCAGAGTAGTGATGAGCATTAAACAAAAACAATAAAACATTGATCAATCTACATATTTATCCAGTGTAGTATTAAGTTATAATTTTCATCTGATTAAGCAAGTGAGGAAGTAAATTCTACTATATTTAATTGTGGTCAATTACAAAACACCTTCTGTAAGAAAGAATAGGCATATGATCCAGATCACACATTAAGAGGTTCACTAAGGGCCACACTCTAAAGTATATTCTAGTTGACAAATGCAAAAATGCTTTGAAGTTAATAAACACTTTACGCAGTACACAGTTACATTTTAAAACGATTTGGTTTTGTAACTTAAGGTATTAAACGGTCCTACTTCTATGACTTTTGTATGGTTACTTCGAGTTATAGGTATTTAGCTGTATCTTGCAATCTTGTATTCTGTTCTTTTAGTATGATAACAAAACATGATTTTTGGCAATGTGCTGTTTGATTTTTGGAGAAGAAAAAGAGTTGTGTGGTTTCTTTGAAAGTAACTTAGTGAACTTGTTTCAGGGATGAACATATATTTTGGAGTCAGCATTGGTTCTTTCAGTTAAAAGATGTTGGTATGCACTGGAATTTTCCAGCAGATATCAACCACGAGGATTTGACATTACATGTGCTCAAACAGATGCACAAATTGGTGTCTCATTTGACATACCAAGAAGCAAATCAGAAGACAGTAGGAAATTATATTAGTAAGATGACTATCACTTTTAAACAAATCAAGCAGGAATTGGGTACACATTATTGTGCTAATCTGAGATTATGTATTGTCCATGCATTGGCAAGCCATTCAGAGTTCAGGATACCTCTGATCAAGCGCAGAGTTGCAGAGTTAGTGGTTCTTAATAGTTTGCTGCACAGTAAGAAAAGTGTCGACAGAATAATTTCAATTAATACTTTATCTATATTCAATGGGAAAGGGAGCAGTTCTATTAACAGGACCAAGGAGAATGCCTGTCCATGATTAGTTATTTTCAAGCCAACTAAAAATGGTTCCAGAAACATGCAATAATACCAGAATTGCCAAATGGATAAACCTGATTGAATCCTTGTTTCAAAAACTGGCTAAATTATCATTTTCAATAATTTACCAATTTTACAACCTTACTGCTCTGTTTAAGCAATAGTCTCTAATTAGTCATTATATAGCACTTATAACAAAATTGATTTTATCGTATGGAAGTTGGTAGATATTAAAACTACTACAGTGCAGATTATCACCACTAATATTGAAATTCTACTGCTGACCATTATTACCTTTTCACCTATACTGTCCAAGTACACCAAGTCAGTGCCTCTATAAGCTCTGCAGATATTTAATGCTCTTTCCCAAGTAGCTGTTAAAGATGCTTTCCAAAGATAACAGTGATCATTCCACATGTACCAGTCACGATTTCCAGGACAATTAACACCATCTACATAAACAAGTAAAAGGTAAACATGATGAGGCTGAGATAAATTAAATTTTGTTAGATAGTTGGTATCAAAGGTAAATAAATGAAGTTGAAGACCAGAGCATCATAATATCACAGATGGCAGGACCAATTTGAGGAGCTGAAGACTATCCCAAATCCAATCATTTCATTAAATTACAAGGTTAATGAGAAATCACATATTGCCTTGAAGCAAACGTATTGTGTAGCTATGATCTATATATGTTTGTTAAGATATGTATGTCTTTCTGAAGTTATTTTGTGATAATAAGCATTTTTCTGTTTTCAAGGGTGCTGTTGTGAAAGATAGTAGTAAGAGATTATAATGTTTAAGGCCTAAGACTGTTGGTTATATGTATTCTTGCCTTGGAACAAAGGTGGGGTTTGCTGTCAGTTTTTTAATACTCAAACTAGTTCAGGGTTCAGTAAACAACAGTAAATGGGGTACGTGGAACATTCCTTGTTCCAGTCCTATTCCGGCCCCCACCCACAACTCTTTACCTGATACATCAATGATATCATCGGTGCTGCTTCCCTCTCTCGTCGAGAATTGGAAAACTTCATCAATTTTGCCTCCAATTTTCACCCTGCCCTCACTTTCACCTGGTCTATCACTGACTCCTCCCTTCCCTTCCTTGACATTTCTGTTTCCATTTCTGGGGATAGACTGGCCACTAATATGCATTACAAACACACCGACTCCCACAGCTACCTGGACTATACATCATCACACCCCACTTCCTGTAAAGACTCAATCCCATTCTCTCAGTTCCTCCGTCTCCGTCGCATATGTTCAGATGAGGCCAACTTCGACAAGGGAGCCTCCGAAAAAGGGGACTCTACAGCCCTCCGGACTCAATATTGAGTTCAATAATTTTAGGGCCTAAACTCTCCCATGTCCCAGACTCCCACCCCACACACCAGACCTTGTTACCACATAGCCTGCCACTACACACCCCCTGTTGTTAGTCACTAACAGTCCCCATTAACAACTATTCATCCTCCCAGCCTGATCGTTAGCAATTCCTTTGTCTGTCCAACTGTCTTTCTCTCTCTTTGGGCTCTATCCTATCGTTTACTCCCTACCCCACCCATCTCCCTATTTTCTGCATATAAAATGACGTTTTCCCAGCCACCATCAGTTCTGACGAAGGGTCACTGGACCCAAAATGTTAACTCTGTTTTCTCCTCCACAGATGCTGCCAGACCTGCTGAGCTTTTCCAGCAACTTAGTTTTTGTTCAGTAAACAGCAGTTTAAGCATCAGTCAGATTTTGTCAGTGTGTTAGTCAGGAGCAAAGGCTCTATGCATCTAAAGTGCTACTGTTAGCTGGCTCAGTGCAGCCCATATGAAATTGTCTGGTTGCTCCATGTCACTGGGCTTTTGGAGATTGGGGTGGCCCTAGGAGACTTATAAGCTCAGTGGAGTTTAAAGGAGGTTGTCTGCTGGGTACAGCTGGCAGCTGGATAAGGAAAAACCCGTAAGCAGTGGCAGCTCAGTGAAACTGTCTGGTGAAAAAGCTGGAGGTATGCTGCTAAAGTAGATGCTTGTGAGCAGTCTCAAGAATCTTGTAGAACTCAGTCTCTGAGAAAAGTATTTAACTCCAGAACTGAACAGTCATTAAGGCAGGCTAGGTCAGAGGGGGTTTGCAGAAGTTCAGAGGCTATATGTTCAAATGTGAACATTATTTCCTTCACAAGGGATATCAAATGTTACAATGAAACTTGTTGGCACACAATGTCATTAAAATCTGGATGAATTACTGAAAAATCCATGGGATCTGTCTTGATGATATTTGCTGTTTGACGTGCTCTGTGATGTATTCAACCATGGTTTGTTTGTTAACTCATAGTTACTTCATTAATTCTGGATTTTAGATAATAGGTTTCATGTACATATAGTAGTTTGTATTACTTTCTAACTTTGAGTAGTAAAGTCTATCTTGCTTATTCAAAACTTGTGATCTGATACTCTTTGTAAGTACCAGGAATTTCAAACTTTATCTATTTTAAGCAAAAATGGTTCTCTGCTCCAATCAGACAATAACATTATTTGGCGGTATGAATGTTCTTGTCATTCCCTTATAATATAAATTCATGATTTCTGGCAATCATTCAATAGCTATGAATGGAATCAGGAGAGAGCAGACCCACCTAACTGAATTACAGCAAAGTAACTTTGGAGAAGGATGGCATAATCATCTGTGTTGAAGGCTGCAGACAGTTTCAAGAGGATGTGGAGGGCAAGTTTACTTATGTTAAGGTCACATTGCATACTTCAACAAAAACTGAAATGGCTGGACAAACTCATCAGGTCTGGCAGCATCTGTGCAGAGAATGCAAAGTTAACTTTGAGTCCAGTCACCCTTCTTCAGAATTGATAGTAGCTGAGAAAAATTAATATATATGCTGAAAACAGGGAATGGGGGCTGTGGAAGGAGTGAGTGAATAGGTGGAGATAGAGCCTAGAATGTGAGAATGACAGTTAGGTAAACAAGGGGACGGATTATAGTATGCCAGGGAGAAAGAAAAGCTAATTCTGGGGTAGGTGGGACCTCTACAAACGGGATGGTCTACACCTGAACCAGAGGGATACCAATATCCTTGGGGGGGAAATTTGCTAATGCTCTTCGGGAGGGTTTAAACTAATTCAGCAGGGGAATGGGAACCTGAATTGTAGCTCCAGTGTACAGGAGGTTGAGAGTAGTGAGGTCATAAATAAGGTTTCAAGGTCGCAGGAGTGTACTGGCAGGCAGGAAGGTGGTTTGAAGTGTGTCTACTTCAATGCCAGGAGCATCCGGAATAAGGTGGGTGAACTTGCAGCATGGGACTTTGATGTTGTGGCCATTTCGGAGACTGGATAGAGCAGGAACAGGAATGGTTATTGCAGGTTCCGGGGTTTAGGTGTTTCAGTAAGATCAGGGAAGGTGGTAAAAGAGGGGGAGGTGTGGCATTGTTAGTCAAGGACAGTATTACGGTGGCAGAAAGGACGTTTGATGAGAACTCGTCTACTGAGGTAGTATGGGCTGAGGTTAGAACCAGGAAAGGAGAGGTCACCCTGTTGGGAGTTTTCTATAGGCCTCCGAAAAGTTCCAGAGATGTAGAGGAAAAGATTGCAAAGATGATTCTGGATAGGAGCGAAAGTAACAGGGTAGTTGTTATGGGGGACTTTAACTTTCCAAATATTGACTGGAAATGCTATAGTTCGAGTACTTTAGATGGGTCAGTTTTTGTCCAATGTGTGCAGGAGGGTTTCCTGACACAGTATGTAGATAGGCCAACAAGAGGCGAGGCCACATTGGATTTGGTACTGGGTAATGAACCAGGCCAGGTGTTAGATTTGGAGGTAGGTGAGCACTTTGGTGATAGTGACCACAATTCAGTTACGTTTACTTTAGTGATGGAAAGGGATAGGTATATACCGCAGGGCAAGAGTTATAGCTGGGGGAAAGGCAATTATGAGGCGATTAGGCAAGATTTAGGATGCGTAGGATGGAGAAGGAAACTGCAGGGGCTGGGCACAATTGAAATGTGGAGCTTGTTCAAGGAACAGCTACAGCGTGTCCTTGAGAAGTATGTACCTGTCAGGCAGGGAGGAAGTGGCCGAGCGAGGGAACCGTGGTTTACTAAAGAAGTTGAATCTCTTGTCAAGAGAAAGAAGGAGGCTTATGTAGAGATGAGGCGTGAAGGCTCAGTGAGGGCGCTTGAGAGTTACAAGTTAGCCAGGAAAGACCTAAAGAGAGAGCTAAGAAGAGCCAGGAGGGGACATGAAAAGTCTTTAGCAGGTAGGATCAAGGAAAACCCTAAAGCTTTCTATAGGTATGTCAGGAATAAAAGAATGACTAGAGTAAGATTAGAGCCGGTCAAGGACAGTAGTGGGAAGTTGTGCGTGGAGTCTGAAGAGATAGGAGAGGTGCTAAATGAATATTTTTCGTCAGTATTCACACAGGAAAAAGACAATGTTGTCGAGGCGAATACGGAGATACAGCCTATTAGACTAGACGGGATTGAGGTTCATAAGGAGGAGGTGTTAGCAATTCTGGAAGGTGTGAAAATAGATAAGTCCCCTGGGCCGGATGGGATTTATCCTAAGATTCTCTGGGACGCTAGAGAGGAGATTGCAGAGCCTTTGGCTTTGATCTTTATGTCTTCATTGTCTTCGGGAATAGTGCCAGAAGACTGGAGACTAGCAAATGTTGTCCCCCTTGTTCAAGAAGGGGAGTAGAGACAACCCTGGTAATTATAGACCAGTGAGCCTTACTTCGGTTGTGGGTAAAGTGTTGGAAAGGATTATAAGAGATAGGATTTATAATCATCTAGAAAGGAATAATTTGATTAGGGATAGTCAACACGGTTTTGTGAAGGGTAGGTCGTGCCTCACAAACCTTATTGAGTTCTTCGAGAAGGTGACCAAACAGGTGGATGAGGGTAAAGCGGTTGATGTGGTGTATTTGGATTTCAGTAAAGCGTTTGATAAGGTTCCCCATGGTAGGCTATTGCAGAAAATACGGAGGCATGGGATTGAGGGTGATTTAGCGGTTTGGATCAGAAATTGGCTAGCTGTAAGAAGACAGAGGGTGGTGGTTGATGGGAAATGTTCATCCTGGAGTTCAGTTACTAGTGGTGTACCTCAAGGATCTGTTTTGGGGCCACTGCTGTTTGTCATTTTTATAAATGACCTGGATGAGGGCGTAGAAGGATGGGTTAGTAAATTTGCGGATGACACCAAAGTCGGTAGAGTTGTGGATAGTGCGGAAGGATGTTGCAGGTTACAGAGGGACATAGATAAGCTGCAGAGCTGGGCTGAGAGGTGGCAAATGGAGTTTAATGCGGAAAAGTGTGAGGTGATTCACTTTGGAAGGAGTAACAGGAATACAGAGTACTGGGCTAATGGTAAGATTCTTGGTAGTGTGGATGAGCAGAAAGATCTCGGTGTCCATGTGCATAGATCACTGAAAGTTGCCACCCAGGTTGATGGTGTTG